CGCGCGCACAGCCCGCATCAGCGAGCTGGAGTCGGACTATGCCGTCACCCTGTACATGGTCATGTACGCTAGGGACTCCAAGACGCGCACCCAGCAGCAGCAAGCCTACGTCGACCGCATACGCAAGCGCCTCAGTGACGCCCAGAAGGCAGAGGACGAGGCTCTTGAAGCCCACAAGTCCGCAGTTGCCCTCACACGATCGCTGTCAGAAGATGTGCAGAAGGCCGAGGAGCTACTGCAGCACTTCGAAGAGCTGGAGGCCAAGGAGGAGGCCGCGCAGAGGGCGGCCGACGCCGACGATGAGGATGACATGACCATGAACGACCGACCGGAGGATAGCTTCCGCCCAGGAGGCAGGGAGGAACCTGCCCCCCGCCTGGCCGAGAAGCCAACAGCCACCGAGCCCTCCCCACATTCGGCGGTGGCCTGCCTAGCGGCAATGCAGGCCAACAACGCAGCCCTGACCCAGCAGGTCACATCGCTCGCGGCTCAGATGACAGCGATCACCACAGCCCTCGCCTCCCTGCCAGGCCTACAACTACAAGGTCCAGCACCACCGCCAGCTCACGTACAAGCAGTACCCGTCGCAGTACCCGCCAATGGCGCACAGCCGCTCCAGGCTCCGTCTGGAGGCACGCTGCCACCTCAGCACACAGCGGCTCCAGGCCCCCAGCCCTGGCCAGCCCCACCAGTGACAGCAGCGGAATCAGCAATCGAGATCGTGCCGCAGAAGAAGCCCGCACGCCAAGCCGCAGGACGAACAGGCAGCCGCAGCGCTGGAGGAGCCGCGCCTAAGACCGCAGGCCCAGGAGCCAGCGGCAGCGCAGGCTCCCGTGGAGGAGTCCTGAAGAGCGCATTCGAGAAGGCTCGCCGGCTGCAGGCAGCCGAATCCATGCCAGTGGGGGACTCCGATGGCGAGGACGCGGCCGCGGTCCAGCAGCGGCAGTGTCAGCAGGTCCAGATGGAGCTCGACCCGGCCGCAGCGGACGCCCATACCCAAGGAGACGAAGTTCAGCCCAGTGTACGGCCAGCTCATGAGGAGCAGCCGAACTGACAAACAACTATTTATTTTGCTGGAGAGAGTACCGCTCTCACGTCTCAGGGATTTCAAAACGCAGACGACCAGTGCCCCACTCCCCCTGAGGTCATGGGTACGGTCATAGGCCTCTCGGAAAGCCCCCTTCCCGACTTGGGCCCCACCAAAGAGCTCCTGCAGCACCATTGGGATATCCCGATTTGTAAGGACCTCCTCAGTTACTCCCAGTTTTGGCATTCCGCCACGACAGCAGGCCTATCAGGTCTACTTACCTCCGACCCAGGCATCCCACCTATACGTATCGACATCTACACAGATGGGACTGGGGGTGGTTTCAAAAACTGGGACGGGGACATGTGCCCGCCTGCGTGGGGTTTTGCTATTCTTGCAGCTGCCCCTAATCATCGCTGGCTGATTGGATTCCAGGGCGGCCCTCTCAGGGCAGCCGCAGAAGCGTACCCATCATCATTGCATTCCGCCATGGCAGAATATGAGGCCGCCATTTGGGCTGCCGCGTGGCTTATACGCTACCTCTCCTCCTCACCCACATCACCTATGGTATCCATGCATACAGATAACATGCAAGTGATCAACAGCGCGGCGTTGGGAGCCACTAAGGGGCAACTGTCAGACCTCAAGAAGACCCTCGATGGCCTGGTACAGGTTCTCACACGCACATGCACGCGTTTCTACTGGGACCACACACCGGGACACAGTGACCACCCGTGGAACGAAATGGCCGACACAGTTGCCAGACTCGCTAGTATGTCTCTCCTCCTCCCGACCCCAGACGTGCAGTGGCGTGCTCAGCTCGATCTGCCATGGCACCAGCAGGCGCTGCAGTGGCTGTGGCTAGAATATTTATCTTGTGATCAACGCGCTCAGTATCCTGCATCAGGTGGTACACCGATGCGAATGGGCAACGCAGCTACCATATCAGTTCAGGAGGGCATACCACAGCCTCATGCAGTTGCAGGTCCCGACACACCACAGTATCCTACATTCTGGGTGGCTGCCGCTAACGTTCTCACATTACATCCCAGTATGTGGTCTAATACGCCTGACACCTACGGTCCAGGTCCTGGGCGTGTTATGCAACTTGCGGCCTCTTTTGCGGCCCAACGGTACCTCCTGGTTGGCACCATGGAAACCCGCCTTCGAGCCCACAAAACCCAGAATGTTGGGGACTATTTGGTCTTTCACTCCTCAGCTACGCCTGCAGGGACTGAGGGATGTGCACTTTGGGTACACAGCAAGATAGAATACATGCCAGGCTATACTATCACACAAGATATGTGCCGTATTTTACATGCCGAACCCACCCGTCTGGTGGTCGCAGTGCGAGGCACGGGTTTATCGATCAACGTACTGGTGTTTCACGCGCCTCACTCACGTGCTGGAGGCACGCTCGCCTCAGCCGAGGTGAAGCTAGCAGAGTGGTGGAGTGCCACCACAACCTTGGTG